CCTGGGGCGGGGGGGCGGCCTCGGGGGCGCCGGGGGGAGCCGCGGGCCCTGTTGGAGAGAGACAGGGGTGAGGCGGGGGCGGCTGGCGGGGGCGCGGCGGGGAGAGCGGAGCTCGGAGCGCAGCGGAGATGAGGTTCATGTTAAAATCGGGCGCGGCTCTCGGGGGCGATGGGTTACCATGTGCCAGGGACTCGGGGCTGTTGCCTTGCGAGTCCAGGGGGGAGGGCGGCAGCGAGGGGGGAGCCCCCCCGGGGCCCGGCGGGCTCTCCAGGCAGGGTCCGTCCAGGATGCAGGCGTGGGGGGACGAGTGTCCTGCGGGGAGGGCGACACGGAGCCGGCGTCACCCCGCGGGGCGGCCGCGGGAGCCGGCCTCACACCCGCGGTGGCACACCCCACTGCCACAGCCCAAATGTCACGCCTGCATTGTCACAGCCCAAATGTCACACCCGCATTGGCACAGTCCCACTGTCACATGCCCACTGTTACACCCCGTTGGCACAGCCCCACTCTCACACCTGCATTGTCACACCTGCACTGTCACAGCCTGCTGTCACACCCTGCTGTCACACCCCACTGTCGCACCCGTCACACATTGGCACAGCCCTACTGTCACAGCCCAAATGTCACACCTGCATTGTCACACCTGCATTGTCACGCCTGTGGCACACCCCACTGGCACAGCCCAAATGTCACGCCTGCATTGTCACAGCCCAAATGTCACACCCGCGGTGGCACAGCCGTGCTGGCACATGCCTGCTGTCACAGCCCCACTGTCACACCCCACTGTCACACCTGCATTGTCACAGCCCCACTGTCACACCCCACTGTCACAGCCGAGCTGGCACAGCCCCCTGTCACACCTGCATTGTCACACCTGCACTGTCACAGCCTGCTTGTCACACCCTGCTGTCACACCCCACTGTCGCACCCGTCACACATTGGCACAGCCCTACTGTCACAGCCCAAATGTCACACCTGCATTGTCACACCTGCATTGTCACAGCCCCACTGTCACCCCGCCACTGGCACAGCCACCCTGGCACATGCCCGCTGTCCCCCGCCAGTGTCACCCTGCCATTGTCACAGCCCCAATGTCACCCCACCACTGTCACACACCCACTGTCACAGCCCCACTGTCCCAGCCCCACTGTCACAGCCCCACTGTCACCCCGCCATTGTCACAGCCCCACTGTCCCAGCCCCGCTGTCCCAGCCCCGCTGTCCCCCGCCAGTGTCACCCCGCGGGGTCCCAGCCCCGCTGTCCCCCGCCAGTGTCCCACGCCGCGCTCACCGGTGTGTGAGGAAGAGGAGGAGGAGGAGGAGTGCAGCAGCGCGTCCTGCCAGCTGGGGCGCGGCGCGGGCGGGGCGAAGCCGCCGTTGTTGTTCAGGGAATCCTGCGGGGACAGCAGAGCGGGGCTCAGGGCAGCCCCCCGAACCGGGAGAGCCCGGGGACACCGGGGGGACACCGGGGGGGACACGGGGGGGGTTCAGGGGGCAGGGATGGGGGCTCGGGGGGTGGGGATGGCAGACAGGTTCCAGGGTGCCGCAGGGAGGGCTCGGGAGTGCCTGGTTTATGGGATTAGGGCCGCCGCATCCCTGCGTCCCCTGCCCGGCCAGACGCGCCAGGGGCCGGGCACGGCACGGCACGGCACGGCACGGCACGGGTGGCACGGTGCCCACCCCAGGCCAGGAGCCAGCAGCGGCGCTGACCGCGGGACACCCGTGTGCGAGGCCGGGAGCACGGCCGCACCCCGCAGCGTGTGGGGAGCCCCCGGGATGTTCGGGAATGTCGCGCCGGCAGCTGTGGATTAATCCCGCCGGGAAGTGCGGGCAGCGCTAATCCCGGCACGGCCCGGCACGGCTCGGCTCGGCGGGAGCGGGGATTAGGGAGCGCGGCCGGGCACCAAACGGGACGGCCCTGACAGGGATTGGGGTGGGAACCGAGGGGACAGGGATATGGGAATGGGAGTGGGAGAGGGATGGGGGAACGGGAATGGGGAGATGGGGAATGTGGGAACGGGGGGTGTGGGAATGGGGGTGTGGGAATGGGAGATGTGGGATGAAGGGGACGGGGACGGGCTGGAGGGGACAGGGATGAGGGACACGTTGTGGGACGACGGGTGAAGGGTGGTGGAGGGGTTAAGGACAGGGGACGGGGGATGCGGGGACAGAGATGGCTGCAGGGGGGACACAGGGGTGGCTGCAGGGGGGACACAGGGACACAAGGCCGAGGACCAGGATGTCACCTCTGCCCGGACCCCGCCATGGGGCGGATCCAGGGGCTCCACCCGCCCCTCCGAGGGATGACGGAGCCGCGCGGGGACCCGGCCGGGCAGGGCAGGACCGGGCAGGACCCCCGGGCTGTGTCCCCCCGCGGTGACCGCCACCCCCCGGAGCCCGGCAGAGCGCGGTGCCCTCCCGGGAAAAGGGGGGGCCCCCCGAGATTCCCGAGGGCCGCGGTTCCCTGGCAACGCCGGCGGCCGCAGCCGCTCCGCGCGCGGTGCCCACGCACTGCGGCGGCGCGTGCGCCGCGACACGGGGACACCCCTGCGGCGACACGGCTGGGGGGACACCCCCGGGGAGCCCCGAGCCCGGGGAAACGGGGGGCACGGCACGGGGGGGGCGCCGGGGACGGGGAACCCCGGGGGGAATGGGGGAAAGGGACAGAGATCCGGGGAGAAAGGGACAGTGACACCAGGAGGGAAGGGACACAGATCCCGGGGGGATGGGGACAGTGACCAGGGAAGGGAAGGGACACAGATCCCGGGGGGATGGGGACAGTGACCCAAGGAGGGGAAGGGACACAGATCCCTGGGGGAAAGGGACAGTGACCACAGAAGGGAAGGGACCCTAGGGGGGAAAGGGACAGTGACCAGGGAAGGGAAGGGACAGTGACCTCAGGGGGATGGGGACAGTGACCCCGGAGGGGATGTGACACAGACCCCATGAGGGATGTGACGCAGACCCCGGGGTCATGGGGACAGTGACCCCGGGGCAAGGGGACCCCCGCGGCCAGCGGGGCTCACCTGCGTGCCCGGGGCCGTCAGGTTGAGCGTGGTGGGGCGGTGCTTCTGCGTCTCCTCCAGGGCGGGCGAGGGGATGGGCGAGGCCGAAGGGGACGGCGGCGCCTCCAGCTCGTTGCCTTCCTCCTCCTCCTCTTCCTCGTCGTCGTCGTCGTCGTTGTCGTCGATCATCTCGAACTCCTGGAAGTCGTCCTGGAAGGTGCACACGGGGTGCGGCTGCTCCCCGCGCTCCAGCACCAGGCAGTCCTGCGGGTGGCACCGCGTCAGGGACGCGGGGACAGCCGGGGCCACCCTCCCCGCCACCGAGGGGTGGCAGCGGCCCCGGTCCCCTCCCTGGGGTGTCCCGGAGGGCACAAGGGACCCCCGGCTGGTGCCGCTGGCCTCAGCAGCCGCAGAGCCGCCGAAGCCAGCGCTGCGGCAGCGTGGTGTCCCCGCGGTGTCCCCGCGGTGTCCCCAAGGTGTCCCCAAGGTGTCCCCGCGGTGTCCCGCACCTTCTCGTAGTGGTCCGAGTCGTAGTTGAGGCCGATGCCGCAGTCGTCCGTGATCTCCGACAGGTCCTCGTCATCGAACTCCTCCAGGCTGATGTCCTGGGGGGGCCTGGGGACAGAGGGGACAGCGCTCGGCGACAGCCCGGCCAGGCCCCCGGGGCAGCACGGCAGCAAAGTGGCACCACGGGGACATCTGTGCGTGGGTGGCACTGTCAGCGTGGGGGCACCAGGGACAGGGCAGGACGACACTGCCACCTCTGTGCCACAGGGACATGGCACCAGGACACTGCCACCCCTGGGTGCCACATGGACATGGCACCTCAGCTCTGCCACCTCTGTGCCACACGGGCATGGCACCTTAACTCTCTCACTCCTGCGTGTTACACAGACATGGCACCACAGCCCTGTCACCTCTGTGCCACACATACATGGCACCAGGACACTGCCACCCCATGTGCCAGACGGACATGGTGCCACAGCTCTGTCACCTCTGGTGCCACAGGGACATGGCACCAGGACACTGCCACCCCTGGGTGCCACATGGACATGGCACCTCAGCTCTGTCACCTCTGTGCCACACGGGCATGGCACCACAACCCTGTCACCTCTGTGCCACACATACATGGCACCAGGACACTGCCACCCCATGTGCCAGACGGACATGGTGCCACAGCTCTGTCACCTCTGGTGCCACAGGGACATGGCACCAGGACACTGTCACCTCTGGTGCCACATGGGTGTGGCACCATAACTCTGTCACAGGACAGCCAGAGGGACGTGTCACCATAACACAGGGACATGGCACCAAACCCTGTCACCCCTGGGTGCCAACACAAGCAAACCACAAGGACATGTCACTACAACCCTGTCACCTCCGGTATCACAAGGACCCTGTCACCTCTGGGTGTCACACAGACATGTCACCACAACCCTGCCACCCCTGGGTGCCAGCATGGGACAACCACAGGGACACCTCCCCATAACACAGGGACGTGGCACCAAACCCTGTCACATCTTAGTGCCAGCACAGGGACATGTCACCATAACATAGGGACATGGCACCACAATCCTGTCACTCCTGGGTGCCACACGGACATGGCACCACAACCCTGTCACCTCTGGTGCCACATGGATATGTCACCACAGCCCTGCCACCCCTTGATGCCAGCATGGGACAGCCACCAAAACACAGGGACATGTCACCATAATACAGGGACACATTGCCACAACCCTGTCACCTCTGGGTGCCACAGGGACATGTCACCACAGCCCTGCCACCCCTTGGTGCCAGCATGGGACAGCCACCAAAACACAGGGACATGTCACCATAACACAGGGACATGGCACCACAATCCTGTCACTCCTGGGTGCCACACGGACATGGCACCACAACCCTGTCACCTCTGGTGCCACATGGATATGTCACCACAGCCCTGCCACCCCTTGATGCCAGCATGGGACAGCCACCAAAACACAGGGACATGTCACCATAATACAGGGACACATTGCCACAACCCTGTCACCTCTGGGTGCCACAGGGACATGTCACCACAGCCCTGCCACCCCTTGGTGCCAGCATGGGACAGCCACCAGGGACACCTCACCATAACACAGGGACGTGGCACCAAACCCTGTCACATCTTAGTGCCAGCACAGGGACATGTCACCATAACACAGGGACATGGCACCACAATCCTGTCACTCCTGGGTGCCACACGGACATGGCACCAAACCCTGTCAGCTCTTAGTGCCAGCACAGGGACATGTCACCATAACACAGGGACATGTGCCCACACCCCGTCACCCCTGGGTGCCGGATGGAGGTGGCACCAAGCCCTGTCACCCCTGGGTGCTGGCACAGGACAGCCACGGGCACACCCCGCCACGCTGCTGTCACCACGCGGTGGCACCGCGGAGGCGCCGAGGCCACCACATGTCCCAAATTCCCGAATGGCCGGAGCCGAGGTGGGGACATCCCCAGGCTTGGGGTGACCTGCGCTGCGGGGGGGTCACAGCGGCGTGGCCGGGGTGACAAAGGGGAGCGGGCTGTGACATCCCTGAGCGCATTGCCAGGGAGCGGGGCTGCCATGGAAACCAGCGGCTCCGGGAAGCACGGAGCGGAGAGAATCCCAAAATCCGGCACGGTTTGGGGGTGCAAAACAGAAACTGGGGTTTGGGGGGGTGAGGTGAGGTGGGAGATACGGCCTGGGTGCCACTGGGACCCTCTGGTCACCCTCGGTGGGGTTGGGGACACACAGGACCAGCCCCAGAGGGGTGTGGCAGCAGCCAGGTGCCACTGGGACACTGTGCCCATCCTCGGTGGAGTTGGGGACACACAGGACCCCGAGCTTGTCCCCAAGGGGGGTGTGACAGCAGCCAGGTGCCACCTTCCAGGGCGTTGGGGACACACAGGACACCCAGCTGGTCCCCAGCGGGGTGTGGCAGCACCTGGGCACCAGTGGGACCCAGTGCCCACCCTCGGTGGGGTTGGGGACACACAGGACACCCAGCTGGTCCCCAGCGGGGTGTGGCAGCACCTGGGCACCAGTGGGACCCAGTGCCCACCCTCGGTGGGGTTGGGGACACACAGGACCAGCCCCAGAGGGGTGTGGCAGCAGCCAGGTGCCACTGGGACACTGTGCCACCTTCCATAGGTTTGGGGACACCCAGGGTCCCCCAGCAGCACCTGGGCACCAGTGGGACCCTGTGCCCACCCTCCATGGGTTTGGGGACACACAGGACCAGCCCCAGGGGGGTGTGACAGCAGCCATGTGCCACTGGGACACTGTGCCCATCCTCGGTGGAGTTGGGGACACACAGGACCCCGAGCTTGTCCCCAAGGGGGGTGTGACAGCAGCCAGGTGCCACCTTCCAGGGCTTTGGGGACACACAGGACACCCAGCTGGTCCCCAGCGGGGTGTGGCAGCAGCTGGGTACCAGTGGGACCCTGTGCCCACCCTCGGTGGTGTTGGGGAAACACAGGACCCCGAGCTTGTACCCAGGGGGGTGTGACAGCAGCCAGGTGCCACTGGGACACTGTGCCACCTTCCATAGGTTTGGGGACACCCAGGGTCCCCCAGCAGCACCTGGGCACCAGTGGGACCCTGTGCCCACCCTCCATGGGTTTGGGGACACACAGGACCAGCCCCAGGGGGGTGTGACAGCAGCCAGGTGCCACTGGGACACTGTGCCCACCCTCCGTGGGGTTGGGGACACCCAGGGTCCCCCAGCAGCACCTGGGCACCAGTGGGACCCTGTGCCCACCCTCCATGGGTTTGGGGACACACAGGACCAGCCCCAGGGGGGTGTGACAGCAGCCATGTGCCACTGGGACACTGTGCCCATCCTCGGTGGAGTTGGGGACACACAGGACCCCGAGCTTGTCCCCAAGGGGGGTGTGACAGCAGCCAGGTGCCACCTTCCAGGGCGTTGGGGACACACAGGACACCCAGCTGGTCCCCAGCGGGGTGTGGCAGCAGCTGGGTACCAGTGGGACCCTGTGCCCACCCTCGGTGGTGTTGGGGAAACACAGGACCCCGAGCTTGTACCCAGGGGGGTGTGACAGCAGCCAGGTGCCACTGGGACCCTGTGCCCACCCTCGGTGGGTTGGGGACACCCGGGGGGGCTCGGGGGCTCAGCCCTCAGGGTGGCAGCAGGGTCAGAGCCCAGAGGGGGCCCAGGGCTGTCCCCTGTCCCCCCCGCGGCGCAGCTCCCGCTCCCCCGGCAGGAAGATTCCCCTAATCCCATAATTCCCAGAAGTAGGGCACGGCCGCGCCGAATCCGCGCAGATTTGGGGCAAAAGCGGCAGGAACGGAGACGGGAACGGGGCTGCGGCGGGAGCGGGGCCGAGCGCGGCCCCAAAGGCCGCGGGGGCCGGGGAGCCCCGGGGCTGGGGGTGAAGGGTCCCGGGTGTTGGGGAGCGCAGCCTTTTGGGGTGCAGAGCCCTGGGGTGCTGCGGTGTAAAGTCCTTCGGGTGCAGAGCCCGGGCGTGTAGGGGAACAGAAATTTTGGGGTGCAGAAGTCTTTGGGGTGCAGAGTATGGGATGTCGAGGTGCAGAACCCTCTGGGGATCAGAACACTTTGGGGTTTCAGGGTGCTGAACTCTGAGGTGTTGGGGTGCAGAGCCCCGGGGTGTTGGAGAGCAGGAAGGTTTTGGTGTGCAGAACCTTCTGGGATAGTGGGGTGCAGAGACTTTTGGGGTATTGGGGCGCAGAGACTTTTGGGTTATAGGATCAGCACCTGGGGTACTGAGGAACAGAGCCCCGGGGTTTTGGGGTGCAGAACCTGCTGGGTTATAGGGTCAGAGCCTGGGGCATTGAGGAACAGAGCCCCGGGGTTTTGGGGTGCAGAACCTGCTGGGTTATAGGGTCAGAACCTGGGGCATTGAGGAACAGAGCCCCGGGGTTTTGGGGTGCAGAACCTGCTGGGTTATAGGGTCAGAACCTGGGGCATTGAGGAACAGAGCCCCGGGGTTTTGGGGTGCAGAACCTGCTGGGTTATAGGGTTAGAGCCTGGGGCATTGAGGAACAGAGCCCCGGGGTTTTGGGGTGCAGAATCCTGAAGGGTTGGGGTGCAGAGCCCTTTGGGGTGCACAGCCCAGGGTGTGGGGGTGCAGAGCCCTTTGGGGCACAAGGACCCGATTTTATGGGGTGCAGAGTCCCAGAATGCTGAAGAGCAGTCTCGGGGTGTCAGGGAGCAGAGCCCTGGGGGTGCAGAGCCCTTTGGGGTGCAAAACCATCTCCCCAACCCCACAGAAAATCGGGGCCTGTCCCCTGCAGGAAGAACCCCGGGACCCTCTGTTGTCCCCAGGGCCTTAGGGGGTGTCATGGGCACACAGGGGGACAGGGACAGTGGGGCTGAGTCCTCCTGGGGACCTGCGGGTCCCCTCCAGCACCCCTGGACCCTCCTCACTGGGGGAGCAGCTCCTGGGGGACACGGGGATGGGATGGGATGGGATGGGATCCATGGGATGGGACGGGATGGGATCCATGGGATGGGATGGGACGGGATCCATGGGATGGGATGGGATGGGATCCATGGGATGGGATCCATGGGATGGGATGGGATGGGATGGGGACACTGCGGTGGGGTGGGAATGGCACAGTGGGATGGGGACACTGGTGGGGTGGAACCAGCAGTGAGAGCCCACCCAGCCCCACGATGTCCCCGATGGGACCCTGGGCACCGGGCTGGGGCCAAAGGCAGCGCCCCGGCCAGGGGTGCAGGGACACAGGGGATGAGCAGCGGGAACAAGGACAGTGCCTGTCCCCACCTTGGGGACACTCCCGAGGCCAGCTGGCACCGAGGGACAGGAGCGGAGCCGAGGGCGGGGACACGGCGGGGGGGGCTCACCCAGCCCGGCACAGGCAGAGGGCATCGGGAAGGGCTGGAACCGGCCGGGATGGGCCGGAGGGGACCCCAAAAGGGCCCTGGCGGGGGGCTCGGGGCCGGGAGGGCCGGGCAGGGACACCGGCGGTGCCAGCGCTGCCAGGGCCGGGCTCCCCGGGGAGCGCTGCCGCTGGAATTTCCCCATCGCTGCCAGCCCCGCTCCCTGCGCACTGCCGGGGGCGGCTCCGAGCGACGGAGGGGACCCCGCAGCGGCCGGGAAGGGACCCCCACTGCAGCCGGGACCCCCGGCCGCTGCCGGAGCCGGCTCTGACCCCGTGGTCACCCCAAATTGGGGACCGGGGGCTCCTGACTGGCACCTGGGGCTGCCACGGCCCGAGCGGGAGGTGGGAGCCATCCCAAGGCCCGGCTGCGTGCGCGCCTGGAATTCCCTCACCGAGCATCCATTCCCTCATCGAGGGAGAATTCCCACATCGAGGGAGAATTCCCACATCGAGCATTCCCTCATCCAGGGAGCATTCCCACATCGGGCATCCATTCCCACATGGGGCATCCATTCCCACATCGGGCATTCCCAGCCCATCCCGGCCTCTCCTCTCCAGCCCCTCCAAGCCGGGCCGGGCTCCCCGCGGCTCCTTGGGAAAGGCTCAGCCGGGTTCGGTTTCCCCGTCACCATTCCCGGCTGGATCTCGGCATGCTCGGGGAGCCACAGCCGCCCCAGGGAGCGGCCCCGGGCTTTGGGATGGCTCCGGGCGCAGCTCCCGCTCCCCGGACGGGGCTCGGCTGCCCCAGGGCCCGGCCCGGCGCCGAGCAGCCCCGGCGAGGCCGTGGCGTCCCCTCCCTGCGCCACCGCGGGCAGGACAGCCCGGGGACAGGGACAGCCCGGGGACAGGGACATCCTGGGGACGGGGACGCTCAGAGAAGGGGACATCCTGGGGACGGGAATGCTCAGGGAGGGGACAGTCCGAACAGGCAGATGTTCAGGGACGGGGACATCCTGGGCACGGGGATGCTGAGGGAGGGGACATCCTGGGGACGGGGATTCTCAGGGAGGGGACAGTCCGAGCAAGCGGATGCTCAGGCACGGGGACATCCTGGGCACGGGGACATCCTGGGCACGGGGAGCCCTGCCCAGCACAGGCCCCAGCCAGCCAAGGGCACGTCCCGCAGCCCCGCTGTCCCCTGCTCCTCTCTCCGCAGCTCCCGCATCCCCGGGGCCCTCCCGGTGCCCCTCGCCGCCGCCTCCTGCCCTTCCCGTTCCCCCGCCGGGCGGCTCGGCCCCGCAGTGCGCCAGCCCGGCCCGGGGCCCGCACCCCGACCCGCACCCCGACCCCACACCCCCGCACCCCGCCACCCCATCCCCGTCCCCGTCCCCATCCCGGGGCCGCTGCGGCGCCTCGGGAGAGACAAAGAGGCGGCGGCCGCTCCTCCCGCGGCGGCCCCGGGGTGCGCCGGGGGGGCTCCGAGCCCGGCCGGGGGAAGGGGACGGAGGGGACCCCGCGCATCCTCCGGGGCGGGGTGGGGAAGGCAAGGGAAGGGCCCGACGGGGCGGGGGGCGGGAGGAGCCCCCCGGTCCCGCACCCCAAGGTGAAGGAACGGGCGGGGGGGGAGCCCGGGGTGCGGGCCCGGTGCAAGGGCGGCACGGCGGGAGGGGAAGGGCAGCGCGACCCCGCATCCCCCCCGCGCATCCCCCGCGCATCCCCCGCTCACCGGCAGCCGGGCGGGGACAGCGAGTGGAAGGTGGAGAGCGAGAACATCTCGGCGCGATCCGCCATTTTCTCCGGCCGGGGCTGCGCCGGACTGCGGAGCTGCGGGAGCGGGGGGGGCGGCGGGAGGAGCTGCGGGAGCGGGTCCATGGGGCGGTCAGGGGGTCCGTAGGGTGGTCAGGGGGTCCGCGGGGGGTTCAGGGGGTCCGCGGGGGGTTCAGGGCTCTGCAGCGGCGGTGACGGGGCCGGGAGCGGAGCTGTCCGCGGTGCTGAACGCGCGAGAGGAGAACAAGGGACAGAGGATCTATAGGGGATCGGGGGGTCTCTATAGGGGATCGGGGGGTCTGTAGGGGATCCCGAAGCTCTGCAGAGGTGCTGAGAGATCCATCAGGGGCTCAGGGGGTCTGTGGGGTCGGTAAGAGGGGACAGGAGCCGTGTGGGGACCAGCAGAGCACAGGGGTCAGGGGTCTGGAGGGGATCGGGGGGTCTATAGGGGATCGGGGGGTCTATAGGGGATCGGGGAGCCTACAAGGGGGTCAGGACTCTATAGGGGACCGGGCCCTGTGGGGCGCTCTATAGGGTCGCTCTATAGGGTGGCTGAGGGCGTCGGGAGCCGTGCGGGGCCCGAGCGGAGCTGTCCCTGGTGCTGCAGCCCGGGACCGGACAGCGGCCACGGCGGGTGGCCCGAGGGGACACCGGGGACGGGCAGGGGACGCCAGGGACGGCCCCAGCTTGGCGGGCGGGCAATGGGACCCCCGCACTGCCACCCGTGGGATGTGGGGTCCCTCAGCGTCCCCCCGTGTCCCCAATTCCCTCTGTGTCCCCCTGTCTGCCCAATTTCCTCAGTGTCCTCATGTCCCACAATTCCCTCAGTGTGCCCCCATGTCCCCAATTCCCATGGTGTCCCCCTGTGTCCCCAGCTCCCTCAGTGCCACCCCCATGGCCCCAGTCGAGGCCGAGGCCACTTCAGTGCCCCCACAGGGCCCAGGGGACACCCAGAGCACCCCAACCCCCTCCATGGCTCACTCCTGCCTGTGCCCATTCCTGAAAATCCTGTCCATCCCAACATCCCCATTGCAAACCCTCCCAACATCCCCATCCATCCATCCATCCATCATCCATCCTTCATCCATCCACCAATGATCCATCCATCATCCATCCATCAGCCATCCATCCATCATCCGTCATCCATCCATCCATCCATCCACCATCCATCCTTCAATCCTCCATCCATCATCCATCCATCAGCCATCCATCCATCATCCGTCATCCATCCATCCATCCATCCACCATCCATCCTTCAATCCTCCATCCATCATCCATCCATCAGCCATCCATCCATCATCCGTCATCCATCCATCCATCCATCCACCATCCATCCTTCAATCCTCCATCCATCATCCATCCATCAGCCATCCATCCATCATCCGTCATCCATCCATCCATCCATCCACCATCCATCCTTCAATCCTCCATCCATCATCCATCCATCAGCCATCCATCCATCATCCGTCATCCATCCATCCATCCATCCACCATCCATCCTTCAATCCTCCATCCATCATCCATCCATCAGCCATCCATCCATCATCCGTCATCCATCCATCCATCCATCCACCATCCATCCTTCAATCCTCCATCCATCATCCATCCATCAGCCATCCATCCATCATCCGTCATCCATCCATCCATCCATCCACCATCCATCCTTCAATCCTCCATCCATCATCCATCCATCAGCCATCCATCCATCATCCGTCATCCATCCATCCATCCATCCACCATCCATCCTTCAATCCTCCATCCATCATCCATCCATCAGCCATCCATCCATCATCCGTCATCCATCCATCCATCCATCCACCATCCATCCTTCAATCCTCCATCCATCATCCATCCATCAGCCATCCATCCATCATCCGTCATCCATCCATCCATCCATCCACCATCCATCCTTCAATCCTCCATCCATCATCCATCCATCAGCCATCCATCCATCATCCGTCATCCATCCATCCATCCATCCACCATCCATCCTTCAATCCTCCATCCATCATCCATCCATCAGCCATCCATCCATCATCCGTCATCCATCCATCCATCCATCCACCATCCATCCTTCAATCCTCCATCCATCATCCATCCATCAGCCATCCATCCATCATCCGTCATCCATCCATCCATCCATCCACCATCCATCCTTCAATCCTCCATCCATCATCCATCCATCAGCCATCCATCCATCATCCGTCATCCATCCATCCATCCATCCACCATCCATCCTTCAATCCTCCATCCATCATCCATCCATCAGCCATCCATCCATCATCCGTCATCCATCCATCCATCCATCCACCATCCATCCTTCAATCCTCCATCCATCATCCATCCATCAGCCATCCATCCATCATCCGTCATCCATCCATCCATCCATCCACCATCCATCCTTCAATCCTCCATCCATCATCCATCCATCAGCCATCCATCCATCATCCGTCATCCATCCATCCATCCATCCACCATCCATCCTTCAATCCTCCATCCATCATCCATCCATCAGCCATCCATCCATCATCCGTCATCCATCCATCCATCCATCCACCATCCATCCTTCAATCCTCCATCCATCATCCATCCATCAGCCATCCATCCATCATCCGTCATCCATCCATCCATCCATCCACCATCCATCCTTCAATCCTCCATCCATCATCCATCCATCAGCCATCCATCCATCATCCGTCATCCATCCATCCATCCATCCACCATCCATCCTTCAATCCTCCATCCATCATCCATCCATCAGCCATCCATCCATCATCCGTCATCCATCCATCCATCCATCCACCATCCATCCTTCAATCCTCCATCCATCATCCATCCATCAGCCATCCATCCATCATCCGTCATCCATCCATCCATCCATCCACCATCCATCCTTCAATCCTCCATCCATCATCCATCCATCAGCCATCCATCCATCATCCGTCATCCATCCATCCATCCATCCGTCCATCCATCATCCATCATCCATCCATCCATCCATCCTCACCCCAACATTCCCACTCCCATCTTCGTTCCTTTGGGGTTTTGGGGCACGGCCCTGCCCCAGCGGGATTTGGGGTTCCAGCAGCTCCCCCCAGGGTCTTGAGCCCCAGGATCTTCCCAAGTCCGGAGATTCCCAAACTCCAGCAGGAACTGCAGCTTTAAGGGACTTCAAAGGATTTCCAAGGATCAGCTGGGCTCGATGCTCCTTTGGGATCCTGCTCCGGATGTTCTGGGATTCCTCTGGGCCCTGCCAAGGCCTGACCCCTTTCCATGGCAAACGATCCCAAATGTGGGAGCTGGGCCTGCCCTGGGCCAGCCTGAGGCCGCTCCCTCTTCTCCCGGGGCTCCTTCCCTGGAGCAGATCCCGATCCCCGCGGGCTCCTGGCAGGAGCTGGGCACAGCCAGAAGGACATTCCCCATCCCTGCCCCGATCCCAGCAGAGCTGCCCTGGCCCCAGCCCGGCCCAGATCCCACTTTTCCCGGGCTCTCCCTGCACGGATCCCTGGCAGCCCCTGCCCAGCCCAGGGGGGCTCGGGGGCCCTTCCCGAGGCACTGCCGCCATTCCATGGGCAAGGATTCCACAATTCCCCAGTCCTGGTGGGGCCTGCCTGGCAAGGACCTCCCAGCCCATCCCAAAGATCCCTGGGATCCAGGAGATCCCACGGGCACAGCAGAGGAAGTTTTCCAAGCATTTCCATCCCCAGGATCCATGAATTCCACCCCGGATCGATCCCAAACTTTGGCTCCTGGAATGGATTGGGGTGGGTATGGGGTTTCTGGGGGGCATTATGGGGTGGGGGTGTCTGTGGGGTGGGACAAGGTACAGGGTGTCCATGGAGGGGTTTAGGGTGCCCATAGGGGGTACAGGGTGTCTGTGGGGTGGGCACAGGGTGTCCATAGGAGCACAGGGTGTTTATAGGGTGGGACAAGGCACAGCGTGTTTATAGGGTGGGTACAGGGTGTTTACAGGGGCACAGGGTGTTTATAGGGTGGGACAAGGCACAGCGTGTTTATAGGGTGGGGCAAGGTGCAGGGTGTCCATAGGGGCACAGTGTGTTTATGGGGTGGAACAAGGCACAGGTTTTCCATGGAGGAGTTTAGGGTGTCCACAGGGTGTTTATGGGGTGGGACAAGGCACAGGGTGTCTATAGGAGGCACAGTGTGTCTATGGGGTGAGCACAGGGTGTCTATAAGGGATACAGGGTGTCTGTGGGGTAGGACAAGGCACAGGGTGTTTATAGGGTGGGACAAGGGACAGGGTGTTTATAGGGCGGGACAAGGTGCAGGGTGTTTATAGGGTGGGCACAGGGTGTTTATAGGGTGGGTACAGGGTGTTTATGGTGTGGGCACAGGGTGTCTATAGGGGATACAGGGTGTTTATAGGGCAGGCACAGCTGTTTATAGGGCGGGCACAGCCAGCAGCCCCCAGCCCTCAGCCCTGCTGCCCGTGCCCAGCTGGGGGGTGGCACGGGGCGGTGTCCCCGTTGTCCCCCTGTGCCAGCAGCAGGTCCAGGTAGGCCCCAGACACGAGGTCCTGCTCCCCGACCCCGAGCTCCCGCAGCAGCTCCCGCGCCCGGCGCTGCCCGTCCTCCTCGCTCTGCCCCGGCCGCAGCACCACCTGGGCACCCGTGTCACCAGGGGCCACCCGTGTCACCAGGGGCCACCCGTGTCACCAGGGGCCACCCGGGGTGCCACCCCCCCCGTGTCACCTCACCTCCAGCTCCAGGAAGTCCCCGAGCCCCTGCACCCGGTCCAGGTGCAGCCGGGTCTGGCCCAGCAGGAGCAGCAGGCGCTCCTTCCTCACCGTGCCCAGCACGCCCAGGGACAGGGACAGCACCGCCTGGGGACAGGGGTGACACACAGCCCACCCAGCCCCGCTCACCTGCAGCCCCTCGGGGTCGGCCGTGGGGGTGATGCTGAACCTGGACAGTTTGGGGCCGGCGCTGTCGGGGCGCTCGTAGAAAATCAGCTCCCCCCGGCCGTCCTGGGGACAGCCACAGGAGGGGACAGCTGAGCACGGGACAGGCGAGGATGGGGACAGGTGAGCAAGGGGATGGGGACAGGGACGGGTGAGAATGGGGACATGTGAGCACAGCGACAGGTGAGGGACAGGTGAGGATGGGGACAGGTGAGAACAGCGACAGGTGAGAATGGGACAGGTAGGGACAGGTGAGCACAGGGACAGGTGAGGGACAAGTAGCGACAGGTGAGCACAGGGAGAGATGAGCACGGGGACAGGTGAAGACAGATGATGACAGGTGAGGACAGGGACAGGCAGGGACAGCTGAAGACGGGGACAGGTGAGGACAGGGCCAGGGCCAAGCCCCTCCAGCCCTCCCTCACCTGTGTCCGCCGCAGCTTGAGCCGCCCCCGCGGCACCCGGAAGAACGTGTCGGTCTGGAGCAGCACCTGCCCGGCCCCGGGGCACGCCTGGGGCGGCTCCTGCCCCTCACCCGTGCCCGGCCCGGCCCCGGGGCACACCTGGGGCGGCTCCTGCCCGGCCCCGGGGCACACCGGGCCCGCCGGGCCCAGCCCCAGCAGCCTCAGGGCCGCCCTCAGCGCTTCCTCCCGCGCCCTCAGCCGCGCCTTCACCTCCACGTTCCGCCGCATCCCGCCGAGCACGCCCATTGGCTGCCGCGCACGCGCCACCTCCCCAAGGCGGCTTTCTATTGGTCCATTAAACAGTCAATCAGAAAATAGCGTTGTTATTGGTTAGAAGCTGGCCGGGCCCCGCCCAGGCCGAGCGGGACGGGGCAGGGGCGACCATGGCGGCGGCGGCGGGGGGCCGCGGCAGCGGCAGCGCGGACGGCGATGTCCCCGCCGCCACCCGCCAGCAGGCCTACGCCTGGTGCCGCGAGTTCCTGGCCGGCTCCTGGAAGCTCATCAGCCCGGACGAGTTCGGTATCTGGCCCATCGGGTAGGAAGCGGAACGGGCGAGAGGAGTTCCCCCCCGCCCTCTCCGCGGTGGTCTCGTCCCAGGGTTCGGGGAAGCGTCCCTCACAGCGGTGTCCCTGTCCCACCCCTGTCCCACCCCTGTCCCCTCACAGCGGTGTCCCTGTCCCCTCCCTGTCCCCTCACAGCGGCGTCCCTGTCCCACCCCTATCCCCTCACAGCGGTGTCCCCGTCCCCTCTTCCGATCTCCCGTCCCCTCCCTGTCCCACCCTGTCCCCTCACAGCGGTGTCCCTGTCCCCTCACAGTGTCCCCAGACCTGTGTCGCAGTCCCCTCCCAGTGTCCCCGCTGTCCCCCGGAGCAGTGTCCCCGTCCCTTCCCCGACCCTCCCCCAGTGTCCCCAGCTGTCCCACCCCTCAGCAGTGTCCCTGTCCCCCAGTGTCCCCAGCTGCCCTCGGGGCTGTGTCCCAGTGTCCCCTCCCAGTCGCCCCCCAGACCAGCGTCCCTGTCCCCCAGTTACCCCGGGTTGTCCCCCCGGACTGGTGTCCCGGTCCCTCTCCCAGTGTCCCCAGTTTCCCCCCAGACCCGTACCCAGTCCCTCTCCCGGTGTCTCCCATCCATTGTCCCCAGTGTCCCCATCTCCTGCCAGGTGCCCAGCACATCCAGAGCGGGGGTGTCGCTGTCCCCCTGGTGTCCCCATTGTCCCTGTCCCACGGCTTTTAGGGTCCCATTTTGGTGTCCCATTTTGGTGTCCCACGTTGTGGCCCCGATTTGGGGTCCCGCTTTTGGGGATCCCTGATTGGTGTCCCACGCTGTGGCCCCGTCTTGGGGATCCCTGATTGGTGTCCCACGTTTTGGCCCCGTTTTGGGGATCCATGTTTGGTGTCCCATGCTGTGGCCCCGTCTTGGGGATCCCTGATTGGTGTCCCATTTTAGAGTCCCATGTTTTTGGTGTCCCGATTTGGGGTCCCATTTCTGGTGTCCCTGTTTGTGGTCCTGTGTTTTTGATTTCCCAATTTGTGGTCCTGCTTTTGGGGATCCCTGATTGGTGTCCCATTTTGGTGTCCCACGTTGTGGCCCCGATTTGGGGTTCCCATTTTCGGGGCTCCCTGATTGGTGTCCCACGTTGTGGCCCCGTCTTGGGGATCCCTGATTGGTGTCCCATGCTGTGGCCCCATTTTGGGGATCCCATTTTCAGGGCTCACTGATTGGTGTCCCATGCTGTGGCCCCATTTTGGGGTTCCCATTTTCGGGGCTCCCAGATTGGTGTCCCACACTGTGGCCCCGATTTGGGGTTCCCATTTTCGGGGTTCCCTGATTGGTGTCCCACGCTGTGGCCCCAATTTGGGGTTCCCATTTTCGGGGATCCCTGATTGGTGTCCCACGCTGTGCCCCGTTTTGGGGCGCCCCTGGCCGCCCCCGCAGGGCCTGGACTCGCTGGTGCTCGAGAGCGTCATGTTCGCCATCCTGGCCGAGCGCGCGCTGGGCCCGCGCCTCTTCGGGGTGTTCCCGCAGGGCCGCCTGGAGCAGTACCTCCCGGTAGGATCGGGGCCCCCCGCGCCCCCCGTGCCCCGCCGGGCACCCCCAAACCCCCGTGCCCCCCCAGAGCCGGCGGCTGCGCACCGAGGAGCTGCGGGAGCCGCGGGTGTCGGCCGAGATCGCCGTGAACATGGCGCGCTTCCACGGCATGGCCATGCCCTTCAACAAGGAGCCCAAGTGGCTCTTTGGGACCATGGAGGGGTGAGGGGACACAAACCCCACTGGGAACAGGGATGGGGACACAAACCCTGCTGGGAATGCGGAATGGGGTGAGGGGACACAAACCCCACTGGGAACAGGGATGGGGGGCCAAAATCCCACTGGGAATAGGGTGAGGGACCCCAAATCCCACTGGGAATGGGGATGGGGTGAGGGGACACAAACCCCTCTGGGAACGGGGATGGGGGCCAAAGTCCCACTGGGAATGGGGTGAGGGGCCCTAACTCCACTGGGAATGGGGATGGGGGACCAAAATCCCACTGGGAATGGGGTGAGGGACCCCAAACTCCACTGGGAATGGGGATGGGGTGAGGGGACACAAACCCTACTGGGAATGGGGATGGGGTGAGGGGACACAAACCCTACTGGGAATGGGGATGGGGGGACCAAACTCCCACTGGGAATTGGGTGAGGGACCCCAAACTCCACTGGGAATGGGGATGGGGGGCCAAAATGCCACTGGGAATGGGGTGAGGGACCCCAAATCCCACTGGGAATGGTGAGGGGACACAAACCCAAATGGGGATGGGGGACCAAAATGCCACTGGGAATGGGGACCAAAATCCCACTGGGAATGGGGTGAGGGGATACAAACCCCATGGGAATGGGGATGGGGGGCCAAAATGCCACTGGGAATGGGGTGAGGGAACCCAAACTCCTCTGGGAACAGGGATGGGGACACAAACCCTGCTGGGAATGGGGAATGGGGGGAGGGGACACAAACCCCGCTGGGAATGGGGATGGGGGCCAAAGTCCCACTGGGAATGGGGTGAGGGACCCCAAACTCCACTGGGAATGGGGATGGGGTGAGGGGACACAAACCCTACTGGGAATGGGGAGTGGGGACCAAAATCCCACTGGGAACAGGGAATGGGGTGAGGGAACCCAAACTCCTCTGGGAACAGGGATGGGGGACACAAAATCCCACTGCGAACAGGGAGTGGGGTGAGGGGACCCAAACCGCACTGGGAACGGGGAGAGGGGACACAAATCCTACTGAGAGCAGGGAGTGGGGTGGGACAATTCCAAATCCCATTGGGGTCAGGGAGCGGGGACCCCAAATCCCATTGGGGTCAGGGAGCAGGGACCCCAAATGCCGTTGGGATCAGGGAGTGGGGACCCCAAATCCCATTGGGGTCAGGGAGCGGGGACTCCAATCCCATTGGGATCAGGGAGCAGGGACCCCAAATCCCATTGGGATCAGGGATCCCAAATCCCATTGGGATCAGGGATCCCAAATCCCAGCAGGTCCAGACCCCAGGGATTCCCTGGCCACTTCCAGCGGGTCCTGTGGGACACAGAGGGTGGCCCTGGGGTGGCCGGGGCGGGGCAGGGGGCTCTGGGGGTTCTGTCCCTGGTGTCCCCATGTCCCCGTGTCCCCAGGTACCTGCAGCAGATCTCGGAGCTGACGTTCTCGGAGCCGGAGCAGCTGCAGCAGCTGGAGCAGCTCCGGGGCTACAACCTGGAGCAGGAGATGAGGAGCCTCAGGTCACTGCCACCCCCGAGTGTCCCTCTGCTGTCCCCTGTCACCACCCCAGCCCCTGGCCGGGCCGTCCGTGGTTCTGTCCTTCCCTGTGTCCCCTGTGTCCCTGGTGTCACCCTTGTCCTCACATCCCTGGTGCACCCTATGTGTCCCCCCTGTCCCCAGTGTCCTCTTTGTCCCCGTTGTCCCCTCTGTCTCAGGTCCCCCACTGTGTCCCTCATGTCCCCTTTGTCCTCCTATCCCTGGTGTCCCCCGTGTCCCACATGTCCCTGTGTGTCCCTGGTGTCACCTGTGTCACCTGCATGTCCTGGTGTCACCCACGCCTTTGGTTCTCTGTGTCTCACATGTCCCTGTGTCCCTGTGTCCCCCATGTCCTCGGGGTGTCCCCATTTCCTTGGACCATCTCCATGTCCCTGTATCCCATGTCCTTGGTGTCCCCATGTCCCCATTTCCCTGTGTCCCTGTGTGCCGGGTGTCCCCTTGTCCCCAGGTCCCCATGTCCCCATATCCCCACATCCCCCATGTCCCCGTGGCCCTGGTGTCCCTCCGTGTCCCCATATCCCGGGATCCCCCTATGTCCTCAGGCTGTCCCCACACTGTCCCCATGTCCCTGGGCTGTCCCCATGTCCCCATACCCCGGTGTCCCCCCATGTCCCCGGGCTGTCCCCATGTCCCCGTACCCTGGTGTCCCCCCGTGTCCCCGGGCTGTCCCCATGTCCCTGTACCCTGGTGTCCCCCCATGTCCCCAGGCTGTCCCCAGCCCAGCCCCTCCCGTGTCCCCTCTGAGCCCCTCTCTCCCCTCAGGGACCTGCTGGAGGCCACCCCGTCCCCGGTGGTCTTCTGCCACAACGACGTGCAGGAGGGTGAGTGCCAGGGGGTGGCCCTGTCCCCCAGACCCCCTAAATCTCCCACACCCCAATCCCCCAAACCCCAATCCCCCAATCCCGAAACCCCAATCTCTCAAACCCCAATCCCCCAAAGCCCAAATCCCCCAATCTTCAAACCTCACACCCCAAATCCCCCAAACCCCAATCCCCCAAATCCCCCAAACCCCCACACCCCCAAAA